TGCAGATGCTATATTCTGTTATGTTATGTTCCGTAAAAACATTTAAAATATTTCTGTAAAGATTTACTGCTATGCTTAGAGCTATATGACTAAATAAATTTATAAACTGTATCTCTACGTGAGAGGTATAATCTAGTAGTCGAGCAATGTAAAGTAGAGAAAGAAAGTGAAGGGATACCTACAAAAGTGGTTAAAATGAAAGCAGGTCTGGGTCAACAATTTGACCTTTGCCTTGATTTACTCTAGACCAACAAGTCAGAAATCACATAAGTACATTGTTCAAATCTAGCCATATACATATAAAAGGTTTTCGTGTCAATTTCACTATCTTAATTTATTTTCTAGCATCAAATCAATTAAAACTTCAGTTAGTGGTTAAAGTGTTACCGGATAACTGTAAATATTATCTTTATTTGTGTTGTTATCCTTACTCTTATCGTCATCAGCATACTGTTGCGCAGGGGGTGGCTCTAATGACCCAGAAAGTCTATTCGATAACTATTTAGAGTTGGAAACGATGCCTACTTGGTTCTAGTCCCAGTGGGAATGCCATCATTAATTTCTAGGGAACGCAAACACACCCAGTTGACGAGTCGTGAATCGGACGAAATTCGCATCCTGGACTTCATTGCCATATTCTTCTTCTGGAACATAGTGTCACAGTGTTAACTATAAAATCAAACATTCTGTTATCTAATCGCTATGAGACGGGAGTGAGTTTTCCCCTCAACCCCTAGTAATATGCACATTTACTGTGATTGACTACCACGGCTGTATAGACATTTGTATGAATTTATCTGTATCGTTTTTTTATCATTCCGATTACTATCCATGTAGTCTACATGCCTGAATTTTTATTCTGTTAACCACATTGCTTTCGAGTGCCTGTTATGTGTTTTATTGCATATTTGTCAAATCTGGAGAAAAATTACTGGGGATATGTATTTGCCTAAATTATTTCATGTGATACTTAAGGTACCAAGTTTATTCCTGGGCTATGGTTCATTTTTATTTCATTGTAGTGTTAGACATTCGTTAGACATTTATAGATATTGGAAACGACACATATTTAAAATACTCATAATTAAAATATTTCGAGGTCATTGAGAATCTTAGTGTATTCTAACTACCTCAGTTTTTATAATCTTCGTGAACTAAAGTTCGTTTCAGTATCTCATGAAATCAAACCATGGAATATATATTACGACATAACATTGAAATAGTACTGAAGACCACCTAACCTTGTGGATGAATAATAACATGATCAATTCTCGTTTGAGTCTTTGTTTGATAGTGAGTTTGTAGTAATTAAAAGTCCCAGTGTTGGATTACACAACCCCCTACCCAAATCATGAATTAAAAGCAAGTCTTAACGAACAATTATAAAAAGGGTTAATTCGTGTTTGACCCCGGATTGATATCAGTTAGAGAACCATTGAAAACCAGGGAGTACTGGACAGTTGTTTCATCTTAGTTTGGGAATCTGATGCTCGCTAGTGACTTGCTACAAGAAAGAACGGAGTTTCCTGGAGTTCTAGTGAGAAGTCGTGACCAGTGAGGTGCATCCAGTCAAGTGTGAGGATGGATTTCCCGTTGACGACATTGACTGATGGTCGTGCTAAACTCATTACGAATCGGTAGAAGTTAAAATTCATAGGCTGGCTGGCCATTGAGGAGTCAGGTCGCAGTTGCTGAATGGTATACGAGCTTCTCTTGTAAGGTCCCGAGTTCAAACCCCAACGATGGTTGTGTACTGTCAACGATTCTCAAATTAGGATGAAACAGATGTCCAGTACTCCCTTGAGCTGGTTTTCAATGGTTCTCTAGCTGATATCAATCCTTGGTCAAACTCGAAAAACAACCCTGATCCCTACAAATGAACTCTTTAAAAATGTCATTTATTGTCGTTACAATTATGGTCAGGTATCCGATAAGTGCTTTTTGATGTAGAATAATGGAGTAGTCATAAGGTGGTAAAATAATTTATACTCCGTCACCTGTTTCATTTCACATATTGGGTTTTTAATGATGAACTATTCAATGCAGTCTTACTATCTTTCCTTTAATGTATACCATTTTGTACTAGATAGTCGACTGACACTATTTTATATAACCTTGAACTGAGTTGTCAGTTTTCCTTCCCCCACATTGGAACGATTATGACTAATCATCATTATCAATCATCATCGTCTGGCGTTTCACAAATATTTGCGTCGGTGGCACAGTGGTTAGGACTCTCGCCGACCATGCACATGGTCTGAGGTTCGATCCCCCGCCGACGCACACCTGATATCTATGGTTGGCCTGCAAAATTTGGGCTACCGATATCCATGCTGAAAATTCCATACTTGTACCAAAAATACAGTGTGGAATCAAGCTGTAATCAAAAATAAAAAAAAATAAAAAAAATAAAAAATAAATATATTTGTGGTTGAATTCAGACCAGCACATTTATAACATTAATATTATTTATTTTGTTACCCTATAACTAATCTAATACTTTCAAAAATTAGCTCGTAGAGATTCGATTTATTTCAAGTTTGACCACAGATTTCACCAACTCACCGACATACAACCTATCTAAATACTTACTCTTGGTATTACAACCACTACAAAAGGACACTCAAAATATTGTGAAAAAATTCATATGATTTCAAATCCCAAATAGAACACCGAGAAATTGATAAAGAAGACATTATGGTAAGCTATGATATCAACTAATTATATGCTAGCATCCCTGTTACCGAAAGTCTTGATATCATTTCCAGTCTGCTAGAATCAGATACAACGCTATCACAGAGATGTCCACTGGATACCAGTAAAATAATTAAGAGCTTAAAATTCTGTCTAGAAAGTAATTATTTTAAATTTAAAGGGTGTTTATATAGACAGACATATGGTGTTGCTATGGGTTCACTAGTTTCTCCAATAGTTGCTGACCTTTCCATGAATAGATTCGAAAAGAACATTTTTTCAAGCACACTCACTCCTAAATTATGGTTAAGATATGTAGATGATACTTTTGAAGTGCTAAAATGATATCTACAGAATTCATTCCTGGAGAAAATAAACTGTGTATCTCCCAGAATCCAGTTTACTTCGGAAGCAGAATCAGACGTCCGTGAATTACCATTTCTAGACTGCCTAGTTAAGAAGAGGAAAAACGGACATTTTAATATATCTACATTCAGGAAGAAAACCCACTTCAATAAATAGTTAGACTTCAAATCATCACACCCCATCAGTGCAAAGATTTCAGTTGTTTCAAGTCTTCTTAGACGAGCACACTCTCTGATAACGGATGAGCAAGAAAAAGAAATATCAAACATCACTGAAACGCTCAAGCAAAACAACTACCCAAGGAACTTCATCAACAAAACCAACAGAGACATTAGGTATGGCCGAAAATGCATTCCGAAAACATGGACATCAACCGCCGTCATTCCATATAGAGCAGAGACGTCAGACGATATCAGAAGAGTACTCAATCAGCTCAACATCAGTTTTTCAGAACATCAGACACACTTCAAAACAACCTTGTCCATATAAAAGACCAAATTCCTAAAGATTCTCTATCTCACTGTGTCTATGAAATAAAATGCTTGGAATGTGATGCGATATACATTGGACAAACATCTCGAGAAATCGAAATCAGAAGAAATGAACACCATAGACCATCTGTTCAACCACCGAGAAAGCCATTTGAACTAGAAAAGTTTGAAAAATCATCAGCCATAGGTCTACACGCTATTGAATCAGGGCCAAAAAATTGATTTCCATAATATTTAATTAATCCAGAAAAACTTCAGGAATCATAAAGAACGTCTAATATCAGAAGCGCTTCATATCAAGTGGAATCCAAATGTAAAACAAGCAATAAAGGTCAATACAGCAGGATTCAATGAATTCATCGAATTTCGGCAGAACTCGTTATCTGAATACTCTACATACACAGAATCCAAATTGCCTGAATGAAAATGATGGACTAAGAAAGAATCTGACCTGGTTACAATACCTCCCCCCCTCATGAAGTGACAAAATCAACACGAATGTGATGAGCAATTTCATTGCGTAAACACTCGCTGCTTGTACAATTTTACACACTGGTCAAATTCAACAATCTACACTTGGTTTTGTTATCTTTACCAAATGACCAACTTGACAACGAAAAATTACCCCAGACTGAGGAACGATGATTAAGTTTTTAGATGTAAGCTGAGTAGATTTTGTAAATTTTGGTTTTTAATAATATTTTGATAAAGCTATTAGCATTAAATAGCGAAACATCAGTAAAAACAATATCGTTTTGTCTTTCATTCATTGGAAAGTACACAAACCTTTATTATAACAGGCTGATTTTATTTAGAGAACCATTGACAATCACGAATCAGTAGAAGTTAGAGTCCATTGACCGGTCATTGAGGAGTCGGGTCCCAGTGAATGAATCGCTTACGAGCTTGACTTTTAATCGGAACGTCATGGGTTCAAATCACGGTGTTGGACGCGTATTGCCAATGAGTGCTTAACTAGGAGGACGAAACTGTAATTCAGTACTCCCAGCTGCTTTTCAATGGTTCTCTAACTGATACTAATCTGCCGTCAAACTTCTTCTATCTATTATTCTACTTGAAATGAACGCTCCACATAACTGACCATAATTATAACGATAACAAATATTATATTTTATAACTGTAAAAACCTGAAAAGAATTTATTTAATAGAGTGTATTCTTCGTTTAGATAGACTTTTAATCTGTAATCGAATAAGAATTTTTACCATCCTTAGATAACCATATCTTTACATCCATTTGTAATACTTGTAAAGTATTGATCGGGGTGTTAGTTATTAAATTAGTAAAAACATTTAGTAAACATTTAGTTTATATATATATATATATATATATATATAGACTAAATGACAAGTAATTCTATTTAATTTAAATTTATCAAAGTTAGTTTAATCAAAAATACGCATAAATTGAATTAATTCATAAAACTTACCACATGAATCCACGTCCATAGATGATTGTGTATCCACAGTGATCGGTTCACTTAAATGATAATCACTAATTAATATTTTATCAGACAATCCGTTATTATTGGTAAGTCTAGTTGTACTAGCAGCTGTCATGCGCATGAAATGAAAAGCATAAATTTGCCTTTATCAGGTGTGATTTGTAAAATAAATGAATTGCTAATCATCATAATTATATTACAACAACCAATAAACACATGTCTATCAATGACGACCAATCAACACGCTCCATTTTTAACCAATCACATATTAGATGATAAATCAAAAAAGGACTAAGTCAGACTAGTGAATTCGTCATTGAAAAAGTCAATGTCTTTTTCGACATGATGATCACAGATCTTAAATAACCATTTTAAAGAACTGCTTGTCCAATAAATGCAATTGTTAAGGCAGGCTAAATTAAGTGCCTAACAAACAGAGCAATAGCACTAAGTAGTATAAGAAAAAACCTAAATGATGAAATAAAACCGATAGAAGAAGTGTTGGTGTCAAATAACTGTCCTATAAAATTCATTAGGAAGATCAGAAAATGCCAAAAGCAAAATAAAAAAATAATGATGAAACTAATAATGATAACATAAATAAGAGAGAATATAAGGCATCTACAGTAGTCTGCCATATAAAGAGGGGACATCTGAGACTATCCCCACGTAGGATTCTCAGTAAAGCAGGAATCAGGTGGTGGCATTTAAACCTACAAACTTACTCAGGTATGACAAGCTGTGTAGGCTAAAGGACCATGTAGTTTGATTCAATTAAACGAAATAATATAATTCACAAAATACCTTGCAATGACTATGAGTTCATCTAACTATATAGGTCAAACTAGTAGGTAAGGGGTAGTCAGATTGTCAGAACATAAGAATTTAGCTGAGGTAAGAATGGTTGACCCCGAGAAGATAAATAATTTAGAAAAAATTCAGCAATCGCATCACATGCATTAACACACAACCACACAACAGAGTGGGTGTGAGAGGGTTAAAATTCTAAGAAGTAGTCTATGTAGGTGGAGAGAGAGAGAGGTCGATTATTGAATCCTTGTTCATCGAGTCTACACCCGAACACGTGCAATAGGAATGACTCATCACTCATACCGGAAATATAGAGAATATTACTACGAATCAAATCAAGAGATGAATTGAAATAATGGAATTAAATAAATGAAGTTAGAAAGTTGTGTGAATAGTGTCTTGATATGATTATGAGCAATAAATTGTGCTAGAAACGCCATCATCAGTAAATATTACTGTATAACACTGTTAACTTTGGGAAAATAAATTATCTCCATAATGCAAATCAGTTCAAGTCAAAGAACAATGAAGTAAGCAAAGTTGTGCTGTAGTGAAGGAGAGAGACAATCAAGACAAAGATTACGTAATCGAACGAGGGAAGAGCAAAGACATCCAGTTATCAGAGAAAGTAAGGGCACACTTTAATTTTGTCTGGTTAATATAAATTCGATATCCTTGAATTTGTCTTTATACAGACTTTTGACCAGACTAATTTTAGCCACTGCCCGGTTAATCTATCTAACCCTTACATAACATATTGTCATATTCACATCTCTCATTGGCATTCAACTTCCTTTGCTAACTCTAGAATATTTGTGTAATTATTACTATATACACTAACATATATATTGACCAAACACTGGTGCAGAATAATATAGATTCATTTTATTTCACTGGTTCTCATCAGCTGCGTATAACTTGTAATGTTTAATTAAACCATTTATAATACAACTGTTTACAGTCATAAATCAGAACTTTCACAAACTTCTCCAGAATCCTGTCCAAGGCACTGATGAAGAACAATTACGTGACGCCTTTCTTGACTTCATAAAGGAATCAGAAGATAGTGAAAGCTTCTACTCCCTGGTTATCAGCCTGGAGAGAGGAAAAGATGAATCACTGGAGAGAGCATTTTGTCTCAAGGATACGAGTATTAATCTCTACCTAAACTCCGATTGCTTCTACCCAGTTGTCAAAAAGGCACCCTGGTGAAAATTTTATTCTCTAGTGTAAAACGAATGTAATCACCATTATAAATTAGAGAGTGAAATCATGCTGCTTGAAAAATTCCTGAAATTTAACGGCTACCCACAAAATTTCATCAGTAAATATATATATCAAGAAAGAATGTGGAAATCCAGATGTAATTACAGTCAGCAAAGAAGCTACTTTTGTTCAACTTGACTTCAAAGATGTTGATATCATGAGAATGACAAATAAATGTTGAAGTACAACAGTGACCAAGCAAAACTAGTCCCTCTACTCTGAACATTCTGCTCTCTGGTACAGTCAACACATCGATAAACACCCCGTCTCATATGCTACCTCCAACTATTCATATTAATTCATGTGTAACTACATCAGCAGTTATATTTGAAGAATAAAGAGAAGGGTATTTGTCAGATTCTTTGAACATGTACCGAAGAGCTTTTGATTAAAGGGATCGAATGGACGCATTGGGAGCATTTCAAATAACCAACAGAAAAATATATAAATTCTACTTCAGTTTGCTGAGAATGTTGAAATAAAATGACTGAAATATGAGTTATGTATTCAAAAGGAATCTGTCGTGAGACTTCATTTCCGCTGATAACTCTTTCCTTGGTAACCCACTATCTTCTTATTTCATCATTTTCTTTCAACTCCCGCATCTTTTGTTTGACTTTCATATTAGAATTAATTTTTAATCCAATGAGTTCTATATTGCGTCATCATCATCTTTTCTTTCGACTCTGTTAGCAACAAAATTTGACTTTTCCTATCTTATGAGTTGTAATCACTGCATTTTGTTACTCTCCGATTACGCAACTATCACTGATTCATCACAGCTTCAACAACAAAAGGAACTTCGCCATCATAATATACATATATGCGTATATATGCCGATAATCTCAGATAACGTAATCGTCCTTATGTTTTAATTCATTGCGACTTTCTTGCACCAATCCTTACTGAAGGGCTGATTCATGATGAGAAACAAAATGCATGTTAAAATCGTGTTACAATTAATTTGATTAACTATTGCAGGTTATATGCTGCTGCTGCTGCGTACCAACGATGGATGGTACAGCGGAAAAATGCTCACAAACCACGCTGCATGTGGTTCGTGGTTCGATCCACGGCCGATGACGCACTCCTCCACCTCGCTAAGCGAGTAATAAGAACAGGGGCAGTCAGACTAGCCGAACATAAAAACCTAGCTAAATCTAGATTGGTTGACCCGAATAAGATAAGAAATCTAGAGAGTAGTTCAGCTATAGCACTACATGCAGTTACACACAACCATACAATAGGATGGGATAGGATGACAGTTTTGAAATCTAATTTAACAGCTGTGTGGAGGGAGAGATTGATAACAACGAAAGCTTCGTTTATCGAATCAACTGCAAATACATGTAATAGGAATGATTCAACACCTGTCCCAGATATATGGAAAATTCTACTGCCCATACAACAAATAGGAGAAGACAGAGAAAACTATAAAAATCAAATCTCGAAGTCATGTGACAAAAATTGATATGATTATGAACAATAAATTGTGTTCGAAACGTCATCCAGTATACAATACTGTTTCACTGTGTGATACATTTAATAATCAAACTAATATGGAATTACTTAATACCACAGTGCCCAAGTTTTACACATATATAAACACCACTGCCAGTGAAATTTCAAGCCTCTAGCTTGAAGGCACCCAATGTTCCACTGGAAACGTAAAGGAATAAAAAGGAAATATCATTCTGAACCGATGTTTGTTTGTTTGTTTCTTCTCTATTCAAAATTATAAAGTGGAATTTGTGTTTAAAACTTAATGGCACATTTTATTCTTTCCATCCTATTTAATTACATCATTATGGTGGCCCCATCTTCACGCTCAATAAGTAAGGCATGCGAATATTTTGTGTGCTAATGATAAATTTGTATTAGGTTGCATGCCGCTGATAAGTACCAACGTTTGTTTTTATTTTATTTTTTTGTATTATTGTTCCCTTTGTTTTCCCAGTGGAACATACGGCTTTAACAGCACATCCTGACTTTGTTCTATTTTCTGATGTCTTCTCTAACCGGTCCCATGATTGGGTATAGTCTCTCGTCTCCCCCTCGCATGATCTCCATATCACCCTCTGACACACGCCAAACTCGTTTTCCATCCAGGATTCAATCAAATGATGGTCTGATGCGAGATATCACCAGGCGGTCGCCGGATCGAACCATCTCCAATTTCCTCCAAATATTTGTGGAGCAATAGGTTCTTAGTTGGCTCGGTGTATTGACAGATTTTCCTGGTGACAGTTCTTCCTAGATGACCATCTAATCTTCACTAGACAGCCAACGAAGGTGCCAGCTGTTGATAAAGGTCTGCTATTGGCCTGTTAGAAATGCTTTTTGTGACTCAAGAGTGAAATTTCTAACCTACACAGAATAAGTATCCGAATCTTCTTTTTTATGCTGAGTGAGAATCGAACGATGAAGGTGTGACTTACGTTTCTTATTCTGATTTCGACACCCGCATCTCTGCCAACTGCCTGTATCTGAAATGATGCTGCCTGGCTACAAAACTGAAGGAAGTGACCTCTTTCAATTTTTTCCGTTGATTGAGATTGGTGATTGTGAGGGGGTTCTTGTTGTTGGTTGACAATTTTCATCACCTCTGTCTTTTCCATGTTTACTTGGATTTCTGCCTTCACTGGCTTCTTGTTTATTTTCGTCTGTAAGTCTTCGAGTTTGTGTAACCCTAAACAGAGGTCGTCCGCTTTAGTTCATGAATGATTTGCGAGAAAATATCCTCGTCCACTTTAATAGTTCTCTGGTTTTCTAGCCGGTAATAATTTTTGGGAAAGAAGGAAGGTAGGGCGCGGGGCTGAAGAACCTACCCTGGAAAGTCAATCCAGCCGCCAAAAAACTTTAAATCAGAAGAAAAATATAAAAACACTCGACTTCTTAAAACTTTATTCTTTACTTCACAAACGATTCGATATAAAATAAGACTTCTTTCGCAGAATAATTGATATAAAAACCGCCCTGTGGTCAGTCTGTTTACAATGTTGATGATTAATTGGTATGTGGTGACTAGTACCGAAATCCAGCAAG